TATAATATATAATTATAATATAATATTTTTATAATATATAATTATATATAAAATATTTTCGGAATGTGCTTTTTGTTTTCTATTTCTTTCTTTTTGTTATTTTTTATATCTTGTCTTTTTGCTTCTTATCCGATTTTTTGTTTTATGTGATAAAAGTTAACTTCGAAAGAAACAGAAAATACGTAGCAAGAAATACGATTGTCGATAAAACGGTTGCAAAGAGAGAAAAACAAGAGGCAAAAAATAAGAAACAGGTAACAAAAATCGGTATTCATAGACCGTCTTAAGACACTAATGCGACTCTGATTCGTTCATGACATTTCAAGAATTTAAGACGGTCTTGAATAAGAATTGACTATGAATACTGACCAAGGAATGTATTATATATAATAAGTTTAAACCGAGCAGCAATGCCATTTCCAGCTTGTTTACGGCATTGAGTTTTGGTCAAAGTGCGATCGCATACAGACATGGGCTTGTGCCTTTTTGTGACTTGTGCGTGAACCTCTTGCCGCTATATTCCACAATAAAAGTCGTAAAATGCTATAAACGAACAGGAAATGACATCACTGAAACCGAGTGCCTAAACCCAGTGAGAAATAATAATGAAATCGACATCAATTTGATCGTCAAATCGACGTCAATTTTACTGTCATTTTTTAGTGGGTTCCAAGGTAAATAAATTCTTGAACAAAAAAATAAAATGAATTGATTTATATCTTCATTTAATTTATTTAAGGCTCGATTGCACCAACGATACTTTGATTTTAAGCAAGACTTAAAACTCTTTCTGTCTCTGTATTTCTTTCGCTTTAAAACGAGACAGAGAATTTTAAATCTTACTTAAAATCAAAGTATTATTGATTCCAACGGGTCTAAAGTAAAGTTAAAATTTAAAATGTGTCTCTTTAGTCTTTCTACGGAGAAAGAGAGAGAGAGCATGCTATCTATTGAAATTCTGCGATAATCGGATTCTCGTTTTAAAATCTAAATTAAAATGAAAATAGAACTTAAGAATTATGCACGCAGCCATTAGAAAAAAAACTCATAGCTTATATATGCGTATTATTTATTCAAATTAGAGCGACAATCTTTTCTTTGGAGTGACTCCTCGTAAGAGAGACACATTTTAAATTTACTTAAATAAATTAAATCGAGATATAAATTAATTACTATTAAATTATTATAAATTTAATAAAATCAATTATTATATAGACCAAGACTATATAGACTACTTATATAGACCATTTACTATTTAAATATCTATAATACTTAAATAGAACTTAAACCGAGATTAAAGTTAATCTACATTGGTAGAAATGGACCTAAATAAAGCTGGCTTTTAACAATCTAATGCTTTTAAATGTTCGATTACAAAATGCACTGTGCGCCAAACGATTAATTTTTGGCGCCTAATAGGGAATTCATAGTCTCCGATAGCAGAGATTGTTAATTCTAGGGACTTCAACAGGCAAAATGTTTCTCCTTTCTCGGAACAAAGTTTTCTATTGGAGCTCAAACTAGCTCGGATGCCCTTCCTACCAACCTATCCTACCCCTATCAGCAATCCTATAGTCGCAGTCCAGATAGTACGAACTTACGAAGGGTATGAGCGAAGCAGAAGTTAGCTGAAGCAACGAGACTTTCGCCGCTTTCGCTTCGCGTATATTGGCGCTGTCGTCTGCCATCACTGCGACAATTCCACCGTTCCGTCAGTTCCATGCTATGCATGCCAGTGCATCGTATTCGTGTGTGTGTGGTGTACCTAGTTTCGTGCGAGGCCAAGGCTACGATCGTGTCACGATTATGTTGAGTACCGCGAATCATTCGACGATTGCCACAGGCGTCCGTTAAATAAGTCGTCGAACGCGGCAAGCGACGACGACAGCGTCGTCGCGCAAGAATAGCCGAGAGTCGCCTGAAAACGGGATTGTCAAGAGCCCGAGACTCTTCCACGTTGTAAGTAACGCGTTCATTGTTAGAATAACATGTGTTTGATGTTTCCCGAGCGGTGTTACGACGAGAAGGGAATTCTCGCAATATGTACTCAATCTCTGCAGAAAATAAAATCTGTCGAAAGAAACAGAGTTACTCCCGAAGGGCAAAACACACGTCTAAGCTGAGTTTATGCGGCATGTCAGTCGATAATCGGAGAGCGAAGAAGCTTCGTCTTTTTTTTCCTTCTACCTCGACGGACTTTCGTCCCCGTTGAGTACAAAGTACGATTCTATTAGCAAAAATTTTGCAGAGAATTTGCTCCGCGGAATTGTTAGATCAGCCGTTAGATTCCAGAAGAAATTCTATCTTCAGCCTTGAGTTTCTGAATAAATACGCCGTTGTCCGATATCACTCGGAGAGAGTATTTTCGAGCGCGTATCTTCAGTGCAAAAAAAAATAGAAGCTGATTTCGCGAAAGGAAACAGATACATGTACATATGCGCGCACAGGCAATACTTATTTCCTTCGATCGTTAAATTGCCACGTTTCCGTGGAGAAAGTTGCTGGTCAATCCAATTATCGTTCTTTGTGTTCGTGCTGAAAATCGTCGTCGCGTGCTGAAAATATTGGAGAAGATATCCTGATTATGGATCGCATTGGAACAAGATAATTGTCACATCGCGCGATCACCACGAGGCAGCCACGTCGACGCGAAGTTTTTTTTGCAGCTCTTTGTACCTCTCACCTTGTCTGTTTTTTTCTCTTTAGCGTCCAATTACATATCTTTCACCTTAATAAATTCATAGGTAATAAAAAATAATACAGGTACAAAAAGGAGCAGACCTTTTATATCAATGACATTTTTATTCCAAGAATATTTGAGGAAATGAAATGAATTTGTAGCTTTGTTCTTTTTTTGCAGCTGAACTTTTTATACTTCTCGTCTTGTTTCTTTTGTTCTTTCTAGGATTTAATTACACATCTGTTTCATCTTAATTACAGACAGCTACAAGAAACAGATCTCTTATATGTGATGAGATTAAATGAGAGATTTTTGCTCCAAGAATATTTAAGAGAATAAAATGAATATTTAAGAGAATAAAATGAAATTCGTTGTTTCACTGTGAGAGACATTCTCTAAAATTTTTCTCTAGAATTTTTTAATTTTTTGACACAAATAATATTTTGATGCCATCTGAAAGGTTATTTTAAAAATATATAATCCATTGTTCTGAGATAAAATATACACAAATTTGATTATTTAGTTGTTTATATATTTTGATATATTTATAATAGATTTGTTTATCAGTTAAATAATTTGCAGATCGTGTTTAAGTGAGATTTAAGTGAGATACTAAAGAGTGAAATGTGATAAGTAACTCTACCCTGACTTGCATCATAAAATGTTTATCGCTACTTAATCATTTAATTTATTAGATTCAATATAGGAATCTTTCACAGAATATCTCAGACACTTTTCTGAATATATCTTATTTTATTATTTATTTATTTGCTTATTATTATTGCACATTATTGCTTATTATCTATTACTGATTTTTAATGAGTTTTTTCAATGTACAAAATTTTGATTTTTCAATTGAATTTCTTTCTTCAGAATTTCAATTTTTACAATGTACAGAATATATTGTAATTGATTTGTTTAATCATTATATATTATAGAATTGTTATTACAGAAGTGAATGAATTATTAGAATAACTATTTTATTGCAATAGTATTGTATCGAAAAATTAGGCAAATGAGCAAAGATATATTTATGATTTTTCCTTGTTAGTCCTTTACAGATTAAATAATTAATCCATTTTAAATAATTGTACCAAGTTTTTGAATGAAGAATATTGTAAACATTTATGAGTGTCACAAATAGTATTATTTGAGTATTTGAGTATTTATAATTAAATTATTGAGTAAATAAAAGTAATAAAAAGTCTGTAATCTAAATGTACGTAATACATGTTCTGAAATATAAAAACTTTTGAATATTAAAAAAGCAGTAATATGCATTGCACATATTTGTTTTTAAGGGGATTTTTTTTTGAAGAAAGAAGAGAAAAAAACAAGAGGAAAATCGAACAAGCACTGCGTGAGTTTATTGTCATCGAAGTGGCGGTCGCAGAAAGTTCTAACATGAAGGGATCTAAAAGAGATTGGATTTTTAGAGTCCAGGTAATTTTTGCTGAAATCTTTTTTTCAATACTCTTTTGTAAATATTTCCATAAATTTCAATTTAAAAAAAAACAAAAATGTATATTTTTACCTGCATTTAATTAACTTGCATTAAATATAAAGATATCTAACCTGGAGAAAAATGAAGTGGTCTACGTGGTTGGAAATTTACCTGAGTTAGGTGCCTGGAATCACAATCAGGCTATTCTAATGTCGCAAGAACATAACAGCCGCAGAGAGTCTCCTGTAGTATTAGATAGTAACAGTACCGGGGACTTTTATAGCGAAGAAGATGGAGATAATGCAGCTGATGGTATATTTGAAGAGTAAGTATATATGTGTGTGTGTGTGTGCGTGTGTGTGCGTGCGTGCGTGCGTGTGTGTGTGTGTGTGTGTGTGTGTGTGTGTGTGTGTGTATAGAAATATTGTTTTTTTTCTGAATTATGAAAATTTTACAAAATCTTTTCTTCCTTTTCTCTTCTTCCTTTCTTCCTTTTGAAAGTAATAAAAAGGAAATGTACAGGCATAAGTGTTTATACTTAAATACATAATATGTACTTTACAAATATTTGTAAAACGCTTGTTCTTTTTTTTTCAAGTTATGAAGACGTTAATCATTTTTATTATGCTTACTATATCATGATGATTATAACATTAATATATTCCAGTGATGGACGAATATTTTCGCAGAAGATTGCTCTTCCCATTGACGCAAATATCGAGTTTCGATATTTTATAGCTGTCATTTGCCAATCAAACGGCACTAAAAATTCGGCCAAAACTCTGATTATTCGCAGATGGGAAACCCATATGACACCACGGTTAATTAGGAAAAATGGTATGTATTTATTAATCATATTTTTTATGACTAAAATTATAATATGTTGCGAATGTTATAGAGAATAGTATATAATGTCCTTAAAAACATTTTACAATGTAAACAATGTATACATTAATTGATCATATATTTTACAGCACCAAGCAATTTTGATAATGATACATTGCCAGATCCTGATAAATTTGGCTATCATAATAATTATTCCAAAATCGAACGAGGTTGGCTAACAGATGAAACCGTGATACAATTTAAACTTTTTAACAATCCTATTAAATTGTGGAAGAATCGGCTACAAAATAAAAAAGTTAATATTAAGGTATTTCATTTTATTTGTCATTTAATATTTCTACTAACACAAAAAAAATTAACATTTTAATTTTAAAAGGGAAACTGAATAAGCTGTTTACTTTTAAAATAATAAATTTATTAAATATATAAAATAGAGATATAATAAGATTTTGTACAAAGTATTTTCAAAACAGATAATAATTGGTATTTTATTTTTATTATAGATGACACCTGTAAATCTAGTTAGGCATAATTCTTTAGAACTGCAACAGTTTGGAGGCGACTGTATAGATGATAGTCTTTCTATGGATACACAAGATATTGTTGATCAACCCGCCTTTACCAGTATTACGGAAATTGCTGTAGGTGTTAATTTTTAAATTTCTTACTATATCATGGTCACAAATAAAGTCGAACAATAATTATATGTATTCCCAGGTGATGAATGATGAAGAGGCTAGATTGACCATCCAGGAGCAATTCGGTCGCCCTTACAATGAAGACGAGTTTTTACTCCTCAATGTTGCCGTTCGGTATCCTGAAACAATCGTAAGTTTTCATTTAGATTGTTTCATCACAAGGCATCATACTATATACACTATTATGTGAAAAGCTGGGATTTATTGCTTGCATTGCTTGCGATTTTGATACTGTATACACTTTCGAATGCGATCTCTTTTGTTCTTCAACTATATCAAATTGTAGCGTCAGATTTCATGCGTCCAAAAATATTACATCTGCTTCTTCAATGTGCAATATGATATGTCAATTTTACAATGAAATCAAATCAAATACATTGACGTTCCCCTTCGAAATCTCTCACGCAAAATTACACGCACCAAAATTCTCGGGGGAACTCGTGTGTGAAATGACTCGAGAACAAGAAAGTCGTTGGCACGGCAAAGCAATAAATTTCTGGTTAGTGATGTGATTCACAAAACGAGCTGAGCACACTAAGAATACGCATTGACCATCTGAGTTTTCAGTAGACCACGAGTAGGCTGGCCACGTCTCCTCGCGCGAATTACTTGTTCGAATTACTTGGTAAACGATAATTAAACTTGTCCAGCAGCTATCTCCCTCCTCGGAAATGCCAGCAGCGACGTGATCGCGCGGTGTCCAGTCTCAAGGAACACGAAGACGACCTGTTCAACTTGTACAAAACCAAGACCTCTGATGCAAATGATGATGCTAACATACAATGATGTATCGATGCTAAGCATCGTCTACCACTTTACATCTGTGTCACATGACATCACACAGAGATATGATGGTTTTGATTGTCGTTTACCTTACCAGACCCATCCTTCGGCTGGCCTCCCGTAAATCGTCTCGTGTGTTTTTTATTTCCTCTTGAAACATATATTGATTGACAAATAGTTACGAATTTCAGATAGATCAAGTTTTATTTCGTTTCGTTATATTTATGTCCATTGTTTCTTCGATTTACACGAGTCGCAGCCATTCCGTAACTCCTCAAATGTTGCGATATCAACGCTATCACATCTCATATCCATCTGTGTGCGTCGAAAATGGTGAGATTCCCATCACTCCTATATCCTTTTAGTATACTACTAATATTTTCTAGCTCTGACCGACTTCTTCTGTACGGTACGTCACCGCTGTGCGGCCAATGCCAGAATCTATGCTGTCAGAATCTTCTGAATCCGAATTGCAAACGTTGCTGATTTGCTCTTTCTAATCTCTTTATCTCTATTTCGCTCTATCGAAATTTAACATTGAATAATTTCTGCAGGTGTTGCGGAATACGCGTCACCAGGCAGTGAACGTTTAGCAATTAATCCGATTCATTGTTAGATTACCAGAAATTTGTTGCTCTTGCCTACCAACGATTCAAAATTTCTACGCCGGAAGCTTCAGGCAACTTAGTTTACATATAATAGGATGTATGCTGAAAGAATATTCGCGTATTAATGTAATATTTTATTATCAAACAAATTTGAAAATAATATAAATCTGTCTAGCAAAGAAAGAAACAAAATCTTACTTTGAAAACAGAAAATTAAATTATATTTTTTGCTCTTATTTGCTTATTCTTAATTATAGAACGTGATTAATATTGAAGCAAGCACGAAAAATGGATGAGCTAAAATTGTATTGAAAGAAACATTGATGTGTGTTGTTCAAAGTGTTAGAGTCTTTTCAATGAAGCATTAAGTAGACTGTTTTTCCAGGGGTACTTAGTGGACTACTACGTGTACAGCTCAAGATGTTTCCCGGGAGAACCACCAAATCATATTGGTTTCAGCTACATCTTGCCGTGTGCTTTACAACCTAGCGTTGGACTTCTGACCGTACCAATTACTAGTACTAAACATAGACCCATTGGCAAGTAAAAAAATACTAATAATAACGAATATGTAAGAGTATTTTTATTCCATTATTAAACATTAATATTATTGTGAAGTTTAAGAATAGAATTCTTGAATATATCAAATGTTCGGATTTTAATCATAATATTTATTGATTGCATAAAAATTTATCACAAAGTTATAGCGATTTAAAATCATAATTAACCAATTCATTAAGATCAATTGTAAACAATAATATGTGTATTGTTTCCTCTGTAACAAACTCTTACATTACAGGCCAATTGACAGTGGAATATGTTATCATAAAACCAATACCGGATCATCCATGGGATATGAACATCTCATATGCAAAGCACTGGGAGCAGCGTTGGTCAGGCTTAGATGTAGGACACAGAGGACTTGGCACATCTTTCAAATTCGAAACAAAAAAGTGAGTTGATTTATATCTAAACACTGTTTATCTATCTGTGCAATCAAAATTCTGAATATATTTTTATATTTATAATTTTATATCAAATTGTTTTCTAGTATATGCTATATATTCTAATTTGAGATTAAAATCTTTATAGCTGTGCTAATGTACGCGAGAACACAGTTGCATCTTTGAAGACTGCATCATATCACGGCGCGGACATGGTTGAATTTGATGTTCAATTATCGAAGGACCTTATACCTGTGATTTACCACGACTTTTACGTATCTATCTCGATGAAGCGAAAAAAGCAGATAGAGGCTATGGACATGCTGGAGATACCGGTCAAGGATCTTACTTTAGAGCAGCTTCATCTACTCAAGGTATTAATTAATTACGATAACTTTTGATATTTTTTATATCATGCATTTTCATTTCTTGCATTTTTAAACGTATTTATATACTTATTTTTTATATTTATATTGTAACAATGTATATAAATATTGTTAATAATCAATAGTAATGATCACAATTCATATGTCTAATAATTCATAGTCTTGAACGAACATATGTATGTTTTATTATGTTTTATTGTATCTTTTATAACATTAATTAATTTACAGAACATGATTGTATATTAAATTATGTTTAGAGATTAATATTGTGCTCTTAGAATATATGTTTAATTAAGCCAATGGAAGAACATATTAAAAAATGTATTTATCTTTCAATATTTAGAAGAAAAATAGGTGCAATTCAAGTATTGATTTTAAAAAACTACTGGTGAGAGAGAATATAATTATTATATTTTAAATTGTACATATATTAGACACTAATCATTATTAGCTCTTAAATTCCTAACTAAACAAATTTTTATTAATTACTAATCTTCCGTTAACTTAATTAACAAATCCATTGATTGTTTATGTAACAGTAATTGAATGACGATGGGAATGCTTCGTATCAATATTTTGCTTTTTATGTCAATAAAGGAAAAGTAGATTACTTTCTTATAATAAAAGAAAAGTAGATTACTACGCAAGAGTATGTCGTACGTTCATCAGCTCACACCAACATTCAGAAATGACATGCTCTTTCGTATTTGTCTATTTTTTAATATTCAACAGGATTATTGTTACCCGAAGGACTCGTTGGGTAAGGTGCTCTATTTCGTTGATAAAGCTGAGCAGGGGGTTAACAGATTGGTGAGCTTTTATACCGCTTGCGCCGACTAACTCGTCGTTTAAAACGTATAATTAATACATTCGACTTGCATGCTTTCTTTCAAAAGCTATCAAGCGATCAAATCCATCAATATCTCAAATATTATTGCTATTACGAGAAATTATTCTTTCTCAATACGCAATGTTGTGCTATTCATAAAAGCTAAAATTGAATGTTTATCCAGTTCTTTGAATAAAAAAATTTGTCAATATATTTAAATGGGTTTTAGTTGATATCTATTTACGAGATTTATGTGTCTCTCGATACTTTAACAGAAATCTCTGGTAAACAAATCAAAACTGAGCGCTATTAATTTAATATTTTCTTCATCGTCGCAAATTGTTTCCAAAAACAAAGTTATTTGATGAACATTCATTCTGATAGCTTATAGCAAGTCAAGTTAGTTCAATATAAAATCATTACGCAAATGCAAAATAATGCAGCCAAAGTAATATTCATGAATTTGCTTGAATGTTTCTAGACATTCTGTATCCTTAATAAAATTGTCAATCACTACGATAAATGCTCACACATTGAAGTAAACCTCTTTCAAAGTGCGAGAATAGAATTTCACGACTGAGTTTGGATGAGAAAATATCATATTTTAATTATTTCAAAAATTATAACAAAACAAAAAATATTGTTTCTTATACCTATTTTCCGGCAGCTCAGTTCCTCAAAATGTTTCCAGCACATCTTGTATAATTTCGTCGATCATAGCATGCAACTAACATGTCACGAACGGCACGAAATGACAAGATGTATTTGCATAAAACTAATGTAATTGTTTTGTCTTGCTTTGAACATTTATCACCTCGACGATGATATGATTTACACTTGATCGACTCTTATGATTAAACGAATATCATATATGTACATATATTTCACTAGCAAGATTTTTCTTTCAGGTTTATCATGTAGCCGAAGGCCGTGATAAGAATCCAAGATTCTTTGACGAGGATTTGGAAGATCATCAACCGTTTCCTACATTGCAAACTGTTCTGCAAGAATTGGAGCAACACGTTGGATGCAATATTGAAATTAAATGGACTATGCAATTGAAAGTAAGAATAAGAGAATTCTAATAATATTATATACTGTTCTTTTTAATAACAGTTAATAATGAGTTAATTTGATTTTTTGTCATCAGGATGGCACATTTGAACTCAATCATCCCTTTGATCTCAACATGTATCTAGATATTATTCTGAAAGTGGTGTTAGAATACGGGGGTGATCGAAAAATCGTATTTTCTTCGTTCAATCCGGATATTTGTGCAATGATTCGTCTCAAACAAAATAAATATCCAGTGGTATTTTTAACACAAGGCATTACATCGAAGTATCCTACTTACCACGATCCAAGATGTCAAACCGTACCAATGGCCATGAGACACGCATTAACCGCGGATATCTTAGGAATTAACGTCCATACCGAAGATATTCTTCGAGATCCGTCTCAAGTTAAGTTAGTCAAGGACACGGGATTAATTATCTTCTGCTGGGGAGACGATAATAATGATAAGGATACTATCCAGTATTTGAAGAAACTCGGCTTGCATGCGGTCATATATGATAAGTAAGTAATATGCGAATACAAGTCCAGTTCAAAAGTCAATAATTTAATCAGATTGGAGATACTGAGATAATAATTATCTCTCTTGATAAATCTTTGTGTACATATATTTTATGTTTTGAATGTTTTTTTTTTCAGAATCGATGAATATAATGCAAAAGAAGTGAAAGAGAGTATATTCTTAGTGGACGCTAGAGAAAGTCAGAAAGAGTTAATAGCCTTGGCACACTGCAGCCAAACACCACAAACACAAATTTCTTCTCCCCTTAACGTGGATAAGGTAATTATCTTTTAACAAATATTATTAAAAATGTAATTATGTAATATATACATAAAAAGTCTAAAATATATAGTATATTCCTGCAAACCCTCTCTTATTAAATTAATAATTTAAAGATTAAACAATTTTTAACAAATATATATTTTTTTAATGTTTTATTTTATGTATAAAAATTTAATAAACCTAAAAATAGTATTTCTGAGAAATTATATTTTGTTCGAAAAACGCACAATTCTTTTTTATCGTTATTAATATATGTATAATTGAACGTGAATATTGAAATTCAAATAGAATCTACCCAGAAATATAAAATCTGAATTCGAATAATATTGATGTTTTAGGATTATTACTTGAATCGACCATCAACGACGACTACATCCTTGAAGAACAATGTTGCTGGCGATAGCATATATTCCGTACCAAACATGAAGTTGCCGACCAACTGTGAGGAGAGCATAGAAATTAACGAAATAACCAAGGATTTCAGTGTCTGCGCGAATACTTTCGGTCATTCGATAAAAACAAACGGCATCTCTGGCGTGATGTGCGGACAACCGGCTCCTCTATCTGAGTTTTATGGAGAAGACGAGGCGGCGAAGGATTGTCTTTGATGCTTTTCTTTTAAAAAACCCTTCTTCTCATGGTTTTAATAGAGAAGCATTAGTAAAAGAGATCCTATGCCATACGACAGGGAGATAACTTTTTTTTAATTTACACAATACACTATAATTGATAGGCTGAAATATTACCGAGGATTCGTCTGTACTTCTGAGATCTGTAATACTCTTATATGAATCGTTATTACATGTAAATAACCCGGAATCAAAACAATCAATGTTATTCTGAGATTTGCCAAAAAAACTCATCTACATTTAACATTTAGATTAAATATGACTATATATAATATATATAACCTATTATTTGATTGTGTTCTACACTAAAAAAAACGCTCAGATTAGTCATGTCTGGCTAATTATTATTATAAATAGTAAAACATGCAGAAATAGATTTTGATAAATCCTACACCACTTGCAGATTGCAGAATAACATTGATTATATTGCTTTAAAATATCGATATAATGTAATGTGCGAAGAAAAATTATCCAACTTACTCTTCTCACATTTTTCGAATTTGTTCATTGTACAGCGTGTGTCGGAAAAAGTATGTAGCCGGATATTCAAGAAATTTGGAATTGATCATCCCTTAAGAATGATTTGGAGATCTTGAATATATTATTCTATTAATAGATAATTATGATCCGATATATTTGCACTTTTTCGAACTTTATTCGTCTATATTTGTCATTTTTAGTCTAAATGTAAAATCTAAGAATTCAAAAATAAGCTTAGAAAAATCTAGATATCCAAAGATTAAACAATTTTAGTTTCTATATATCCATTCGAAAACAAATACAAATATTCGCTCATATATATGCAAAACAATATTAAAGCAATATTAAATTTTACTAATCCATAATAACAATTCAAAAACGGGCAACATTGTTAGATGGATGAAATTACGGGCAACATTGTTAAATAAATAAAATTACAAATTAAATTTATTAATTTACATTCAAGTGAGCATCTCTACTACTCAGGACGTTTCGGATTTTACTTAACTCTTTTCAGCCATGATGCTTACTTGAATATAAATTAATAAATTTTATTTGTAATTTTATTTATCTAACAATGTGTGTTTGTTTTTAAATTATTGACCTTAAATGGATTAGTAAAATCGCTTTAATATTGCTTTATATCCTAATATTGAAATCTCTAAGTATTCAAGAATTTAGGCATACAAAGATGGATCTAAGAATCCATAAATCCAATTCGTTTATCGTTTTGATTCAATGATTCGAATGTCTAAAATACGTAGAAAAATAGAAATCTAAAAATATAGTTTCTTAGATAGTTCGTTATTTAATTGCTAGATTATGTATTACATGTAAAAGAAATTGAAAACATTGTTCAATCCATTAGCTACCGGCATACAACTGTTTCCACGCATTCTACGTAATTTCTAACGAGAATCTTCTCAGTGAGCTAATGAATCCTGCGCAGGATATAGAAAACGATTTTAACTCCCGCGAATTCGCCTGCAGTAAGCCGGTGCGGGAGTTATGTTTTTAGTACAAATCTCTTCAGGTATATATTTTTATTTATAATTGAGAAAAAATGATTCTCTTCTCTCCCGTATCTCTTCCGCTATTGATTCAGACGGTTATAATATACGCGAAAAAAAAAGGAAAAATACAGGAAAAAAAGAGCGAGTTGCTCGTAATCGGAGAGTAAATGCCATTAGTTAATACAATTTTTTATGAGCTGTCGAACGAAAAATCACGCCGAATGCAACAGCGAGTGATCGCGCCGCACCTCGAATTGCCTTTTCGACAGCTATAACTCAAATTTTAATGTGATGTAAAGTAAACTATTTTTCATAGTCATCTAGGAAATATTTCATATTCATTTATTTATGTCATCATTCGACGCGTGACAATTTGCATGATTATTCAACCGGCGCGAGCGTATGATCAAGCTAAATAAAGAAAAATCATAAAAGGAGTACATACACATCTTGTTTTTTTTTTATTTTTCACACTTTCAATGAAATCAGTGCACAGTTTTGTTCATTCTAAGTAATCTTATAATAACGCTGCGAATAATTTGCAGTCTCTTCATGATGTATGCCCAACAGACGGACACGGTGTTCAGAGACCGACTGGTTCGCCCGAGAAATTTACTGTATTTTGAAAACTTGAAATACTTTTTCGATGAGAAAAGTTCTGGAGTGTACAGTCGATCTCTCGTCATTCTTAGCGCACCAAGTGCGTTCAGAAGACATCGAACACGAGAAATATCATTCGCTTTCTAGCAAATAGTCTCCCGAATGTGCTATATGTTTCTTCGAGAGAAAAAAATAATGTTAACCCTTCAATCGATAGCTTTGTCCTTTTGATAAATTCATAACTTAGTGACATGAAGTCGCACCGTCCGCTTCGATTTTTGATATCATTAATAACTCATTTTTTTTTCATTGAAGACAGACGAAAAACCGTCTCAAATAAATAGGGAATCAACGCTTTGCGCTCGGAATGCTCTCGTCAATAACGGAATGTGATTTTATTTGAGAGACGTTTATATCTATCAATGCTGACTAAAAGATTTTTCATTTTGATTTCCAAATTGATTTATTGACGAATAAAACTGCAATTATTAGATAGCGAAATTGGGAATTGTCGCTTATGCGATGCAACTAAAAGAAATAAATTAACTGAGGGACCTAATTAAGGCAAATACAAGCGGCAGCTTTGCGTCAATTGATCTCGCGAATTGTGGAGTACGCGTTCTTGAGGTATATATCGTATATACTAGGAATATATTAACTATTGCTATTATTATTATTATTATTAGAAGTATAATATTGTATTAGCGTTATCTCATAGTGCATAGTTATTATTTTACAATAATTTAACAATATCTATTATACACTATGATAACGTAATGTTATATCATTATAATATAATATTGAGAAATACAGATCAAAACCGGATTGACGCTCCGCAGCGCAAAGAGTTGAACTATCGATTGAAGGGTTGAAGAGAACGTGCAGTGACACGCCAAGCATCTTTGTAAAATTTTTCACGGAAAGGATAACGTGCGTATCACATTATGATAGCAAAACAAGCTGTAATAGACTAATAGAGCGATTGTATCAATCGTCGAGACTCTGGCAATGTACAGTACATTTGTTGAAAGAATGCTAAGGAAATACTACATACCTATCTCTACATACGTTACTATGAGATCACGACCAGGGACTCGGACCGAAATTACATTATGGATACATTAAAATTTCGGCTGGTTACGATTATGGTCCGAGGATATCTAACTTTCGGTGTCAGTTTCAGTTTTTTTAGTGATAACGTTTGGATTTCGGTCCTTTTCGATTTCAATAATTATATGCCCATAATGACCATTATGGGCATATAATCACCGAAATCGAAAAGGACCGAAATCCAAATGAACCCGGTAATCTTTACGGTAAAAGAATTGAAACTAAAAGTTGGATTTAGCCTCGGACCGAAATTTTTCAGTCCGAATCCTTGATCACGCCGTTGCACTATACAGAGGTGATATTATTTGTTCTTTTTCTTTTTCTTTTTTTTCAGTCGTCCTTCCGAGGAGGCTGAATGTTCTTTTAAATTTTTTGTTCAACACAACTAGCGACTATAAATCGTGGATGTCCTCTGGGCACGCTGCAAAATAAGGCAATTAGAATGCTAACAAATTGGATAGCCGACAATGCGGAACGCTGATTAAATCGGAAAAACACCGCAGATTTTCTTATCGACGATAATTATTTTTTATAGAAACGACGAGTACTGTATTAATAATTAGCGTTAATAAGTGTATATTACAAAGAATGACTTGAGGAGGAACTTTGAGCTTAAATAAAAGTGTCGAGTGCAACATATATTTCCGAGAAAATCGTGATGTCAAGTATAGTATATGTTTCCGTATAAATCCGCGATTTTACTTACGTTAGAAGTTTATAATTGTGTCAGTAATTATGAAAGTGGCGTAAATAAAAAATCGAAACATGAATTTATCCCATATTTTATATAATTACAATTTTATGTAATTACATTATAAAATGGTGAATATGAGATAAATTCATTATCTCGATTTTTTATTCAGACCGTTTTCATAATTACCGGCTTTCATATTTACAATTAAGATGACAGGATCAGCTTTAGAGAAAATTTATGCGCGCATTTATGAGATCTTGCGCTAGTTCTAACATCTTTAGAAACTTGCTGTTTCAGCTTAGCTTTTTTCTGATTTATTGAATTTCTTATGATAAGAAATGTGTAAACTTTATTCTGAAAAATTATGGAATGCGAGAAGAATCTAAAGCTGACACCAAGTTAAATTAAAATACTAAAAAAACTTTTCTTCATTTTCCATCTATTGTATATTATTAACATATCAATATGTATATGTACATTAGAAATGAACGATTCGTTTCTTGTTATTTAAATTCTGAGCAACTCCGTGCGTCAGTTAGCGAACTTTAGAAGTTTTGCGAACTCAATGTGTTTTGGTCTCCAAATTCGTTTTTAATTAATATAAACCAAATCGGTTTTAATTAATATAAACTCCAAGCATAGTTAAGATTTCTAACGATTGTCTTCTACTTCGTTTATGTTATATGACACAACGATCGAGAAGAATTGAAGTAATTTATTCTTGCCGAGATAATAAACATTTGTATTGTCACAGAACGTCTTTGTCAATAATTATGAATAATACTAATTTCCTCCCTGTACATTTTTAGATGTAGTAAGAACTTTTTGTGGAGGACATTCTGTGATTTTGAGATATTCAGGTGTGTATGTGTATTTTTATATATTTTGCATATTTTTTATATACATTGTTTATAATTTAAAATTAAATATACAGTGTCCCAGACCTACGGGATCATCTCTCATGAGCAGTTAGAGCGAACTGAACTGAACAAAAAATGCCTGTATGGCATATATTGCAATAGTTTAACGAGATATTTTATAATTTCTAAAAATCGCTGAATAGTGCCTATCGCCAAATATAAACGCCCGACAAAATAAGACCGTCCGTCATCATAAAGTGTTAAGCATGCGGGAAATTGTTTTCTTCAAGCAGTCTTGACCATGCAGCAAAAAAAAAATATCTCCCCGCGCTGGGCGATTGTATCGCTTATATTTGGTGGTAGATTGGACCAGGCTGAATAAATACGCATTTATTTCACGATCTTTAGAAATAAACATCTCATTAGCTACTTGTGAAAATTACAAAATGATAGCTTTTTACTCAGTTTAATCCGCTCTGTTTGCTCACCAGAGGTGATAATAAGTTTGACACCCTATATACACAGAATATCTCAAATCACATCACACGCACATATTCTTTTTTTAATATACTATATATCTTTCTTTTTCTTTGCATGTGTCAACTTTCTCAACAAGATATTATAACAACACACTATTAAATTTATTTACCTATTTATATATATTAATGATAGGAATGACTTAAAAGATAATAAAACTAATGAGAGAGAAACACAAAAATATTTTAATATAATATATATCTAGTATAGCAGAATATCCATTAAATATTTAAACAAAGATAAATGGATAATATAAAGAATAATAATTAATTTTAACAATTTTCGACCGTTAAATATTTACTACAAAATGACTAACAAAAACATTCATATGTCGTTATTACAATGATACATTACGTCGTAAAAGGAAAATATCACAGTATACGTTATGTGTACTATTATATGTACTAATATTTTTCTCC